CGTATCGTTGTTAACCATCATCCCACGGGCCAAATCAGCGTCACAGTATCGCACGGGTCGTAACTGGCGTGCTTTTGATGCACAGGCATTCATTGCGGACTTACAGTCCACTGATTGGAATTGTGTCGTAAAAAGCAATGACTCATGCGACCAGCAATGGAGTTCTTTCTCTTCTGAAATGACGCGTATTTTGAATGTGCATGCCCCACTGCGTAGGTTTAAAGTAAATAACCCATCACCTCCCCCAGTATCTGATGAAACTCTGGATCTGATGAATCAAAGACGATTAGCAAAATCAACTGGTGACAATCTGACCTATAGGACTCTCAACGCTCAGGTTAAAAGGGCCATCAGAAGAGATGTAAGGGAAAGTATCAAACAAAAGGTTGACGAATCGTCACCTGCGGCACTGTTTCATCACCTGAAACCAGTCATAGCGCCAAAACGTGGTCGCCGTGTTGAACCAGCCAATATCTCTTCAGACGAACTTAACAGTTATTTTACGTCGATCGGCACGCAAACCAGAGAGAAGGTGATGAGAGACTTTCGGAGTTCCGGAATGGAAAAACTCAACGTTCGCTTGCCTCGTGTTAACGCCGGTGCCCTCACGCTGACGCCTGTGACTTTAGATCATCTTAAAGCTGTTATATTCAGTATGCCAAACAAAAATTCCAGCATTGAAGGAGATGTGCCACTCAAAATTTTGAAGTTAAGTTTTGGAGTAGTAGGCAGATATTTGTTGCGCATAGTGAATACAAGCATAGTGACGGAAACTGTACCAGATGGATGGAAGAAGGCAGAGGTGCTACCCTTGCACAAAAGAAATGACCCCTCGGAAGCGGCGAATTTTAGACCCATAACCATTGTGAGTGTCATTTGTAAGATCATTGAAAAAATAGTTCACACCCAGGTGACTAGTTATCTGACTCAGCAACATTTATTCACCATCGATCAGCATGGCTTTATGCCAAATCATTCCACGGCAACGGCACTCGTATCAATGACTGACGAAATTTTGAAAGGTATGGACAATTCGGAAATTTCATTGCTAGCTCTTTTAGATTTAAGTCGGTGTTTTGATGTGGTCGATCATAGTACTATTCTTGAAAAATTGAGTCTCTTACAGATTAGGACAGGGTGGTTCAAGAGCTACCTCGAGGGACATACTCAGAGGGTAAGGATCGGCGACGAATTATCAGAACCCTTACCGATATCGGTGGGATGCTTCCAGGGCTCAACGTTAGGAAGTTTATTGTTTAATATTCTAAGCAATGACATCGCATGTCACATTCCGTCCTCTGTGAACGGTTTCCGAGTAACTTTAATCAGGTATGCGGATGATACTCAGCTAGCACTAACCGGGTCGAGACACAAAATTCGGGATATGCAGTGTGCTATGGAAGACGTTTTAGGTATCTTGAGTAACTGGTTTATGCAAAACGGTATGATGGTTAATCCTAGTAAAACGGAACTGATGGTTTTCGGTGACAGACGGCAATTAGTCCAGTTAGATGAAGTTCCAAAAGTGTCATTCATGGGTGAAGTGGTGATGTCTACCGAGAGCGTGAGGAACTTAGGTGTGATAATGGACCCAAACCTGTCATGGGAGCGCCACGTGCAACATGTTGTTAACAAATGTTTTGGCATTCTCATTGGAATCTCGCACGTTAAGCATACTCTACCGGCTTCTGTTCTACCTCGTATCGTCGATTCTCTTGTACTTTCTCACATTCGATACTGTGCGCAGGTGTATGGTAGCTGTGGCAAAAATGTACTGACCGAACTACAAAAAATAGTCAACTTCGCAGCACGAGTTATTTCCGGTCGACGGAAATACGACCATGTTTCGGATGTCATTTCAGACTTAGGTTGGCTCACTATTCCAAAGCTAGTTGACTATTTTGACATGTGCATGATTCATAAAATTTTATCGCTGGACGTACCAATAGGATTGCGTGAAGCACTGTTGTTTAATCATGAATCAAGCTCTCGAAGAACACGGCAGTCGGATCACATTTCAACCACTCGCCCCCGCAACAACCATGGAAAACGTACATTCATCTATCGTGCATCCAAATTGTATAACACATTCGCCATAGATCAACATGTGAACCACCTTAGCATGACTTCTTTTAAGCGCCACATTCGTAAAATGTTGGCTGATGCATCGTGATTTTTTTTTTTCGTGACTAGTTAGTTTATTTTAAGTGTCCGCGATTTTGTTCTCATGAAGATGTGTGTGTGTGTGTTTTTATAACTTGTTTTTTTTTTTATACCGTGCGGTGTTACATTGTATGACGAGGGTATTGGAATAGCCCATTTTGTGTGGAAATACCTGATGATGTGAAATAAATAAATAAATAAAATAAAAAATCAGCTCATCCTCCCTAAAACAATGCAAGCTGACGGGACAAAAAGCTCATTGTCGTTCCAGAGTCTGAAGCCCTACTGTTTTTCTGAGCGTCATACAATGTCGTTTTGTGCTCCACTCAACATGTTTGCTCACGGCCATGTGACGATTTCGATTTTCCGTCCATGAGTCCCCAGTGTCTCCGATGGAGTCTTCCACGGAAGACATCGTAATCAAGCTTGTTATGTGCGTTTCAAAATCAAATGTGTAAGGCCTTTAGCAAATGTGTCAGCATACATTGCTGCTGAATGCTGACCAGACTATGTCACCTTTTAATTTCGTCGTACATTTGACTCGTTTTTAATAGAATATCAACTCCCTACTGGGGCACATTGACTTCCAAAGGCATAGTTCCTTTCAATGTTTACTGATATGATACTGGAAGCTATGACAGATGGTATATCTCGTATATCTGAAAGTCAGTTGACAATTTCTGGTTTGGGTTTGGCGAAATCCAACAAATGAATGAACATATTTGCCTTGGAGTTTTATACAAATCCATGTAGGTACTCTTGGAGATAGATGATACGAGTATTTTGAATGGAGCACCGTCCGTTATCACAGCTCTGGCACGGCACTGTGACCTGACCGGTTTCGACCCGACCATTACAGTCGTATTTGACGGTATTCGCAAGATGTTTTAAGTTTTATGTCAAGTATATCGTTATCGTTTATCGACATGCAGATTGGATCACAAAAAGTATTCCACGCAAGCTCTTCATTTACTTTTGCTGTTATTTGTGTTAACTGTATAGGATATGTGATGTGATATTTATTTGAGATATGATAATCCCCCTGTCGGAGGTGGCGCTGTTAATTGTTAAGCCCCTCATTAGCGCCCAACGGTGTCGCTGCCTTCCATCCCACCCAGCTGTGCTGAGCTGTGGTTTGGCTGACTGGGGCCACCTGCCACCGCCTGAGTCGTAAGCCGCTGATGACCTCAGATTGTGTCACCGTGGTCCGGTAGCTCAACAGCTTGTTAATTATTACCCATTTGTCGGAAACGAAGGCCGTACTGACCCTTTGTACGAGTAACGAATAAATGTCGGTTTTTTAACCCTCGCCCTGGCAGGGGGGGGGGTCGATGTGACCCCCCCTAAGGTTTTTCGAAGATAACGTAAAAACGGCGGCGCGCAGCGCCGCCAAATTTGACACAGCCTATGGGGCAACCTTTTTACATATGACCTGAAAATTTCAGGTCCGGGTGACCTTGGGTCAGGTCACCAGGTCAGAAAAACCGGTACAAGGTCATGGTCAAATTTCAATTTTCTTTTTGCACCTGTCCAACTCACAGTTTTGCACTGATTTCCTTCAAACTTTCAGGATGTGCTAAGTTCACCGAGTTGTATAACATATAGTTCGGGTTTTTTGAGGTCACTGACCTGAGGTCAGTTAGAGGTCATGACGTCGTAATGTTAAGCCTATGGGAAAATACTAAATTCGGAAAATATTGGAGATATCCGCTTCGTTTTATCACTTTTGTGCTTTGAAACCACAGTACTTAACAGCAGGTCACTTGGTGCTTCTTTGTTTGGTGTACTTATCCATGGGTCAGGTCAAATGAGGTCAACTGAGGTCAAATGACGTTTTTGCCAATAACTTGGCATATAATGACGCTAGAGCTTCAAAAATGGTATCATTGTGTTCCTGGTGATCTGCCGAATCGAATGATATGCGATATGATGCAATTTGGTCAACTTTAACTTAATTTATTAATTTAAGTTTACTTAAAATTTAAGAAAAACTTTAAGTACACTTAAGCAAGCTAAAAAGTATATCATTCGACGCGCCTTGACGTGCTGAGTTCACTGGTGCTTTTCTTTTTGTTCTATCTTAATTAGATCAAAAGTTATAGGCGAAAAACTTTTGACCTGTTTTTAGCGAAATTTTTACATTTATACCCCCCAAAACCCCCCTAAATATTGACCTAGAGCAACCAAATTTGCACAGGGGCGAGAACTCCAGGGGGCCCACCTACCTACCAAATTTGGTGTTTCTAGGTGCCATAGGAGCCAATCGCGAGGGGGGGTCGCATCGACCCCCCCCCCCTGCCAGGCCGTGTTATGAAAAATGCCCTGCCAGGGCGAGGGTTAAAGCTTTAGGTATTCACTTGTCTGGAGACTGGATATTTTGCTATGAATGGGTTAAATTGTAGCAGTTTTAATCCCGTTGAACGCAAGTACTTAACGGAGAAATTAACCTTTTTTCCTTTTCTCTCTCTGATTAACCACTGATATTGTACGAAACCGATAGACACAGTGAACACTTGCCATTTACTTCATAGTGGTAGGATCAAGGATGCATGATATTGATATTCTACTCGTTAGCCGGCTGAAACAGACTCTTCCCGCTGTCATGAAATCGCATGCGAGAGCCTATTCAAATACATTAAATCACGCTCGCATCATTCGTACGCAACTCCGGCATACGATTGATGCGGGCGGGATTCTAATGTATTTGAATAGGCTCTTGCATGCGATTTCCTGACTGCGGAAAGAATCTGTTTCAGCCTTTAGTGTTTCTGATCTCGATGCTTTTCAACCGGTCATCATTAATGTGCTTTCAATCATTCCCAATTAAAACACGGACACTGTTTGGTGATCATATATGTAACTTGGCATCGAAACAGCATTTGAACATAGGACAAACATATAAATATCACAATCAGGACAACACATAATTCCCCCGTTGGCATCGGTAAATATTGACTGGACCGTTCCGGTACACTTAATATCGTATGCCACATATTTGCGTGGCCCAAAGAACAGCGGTGGGCATGCACTATTCCACATATTCACTTTTCTACATCTTGAACCTCTCCAATGTGCTCCCGGGTGTGACTGAAGTCGGGGAGATGATCTCCGACAGGATGGAAGCCGTTCTCGTCGGCCGTCCAGGTGACCGTGTAGGTGACACCCTCCCATTCGTACGAATACGAGCCGCTCCTCACGTAGTTGCCGGACTCGGGGACATTGCCAGGGTAGGAGGTTCCCTCTTCTGATGACTTAATGCCATTGGTTGTCTCAAACCTGAAAATCAAGGAAAGCAACTAAACTAATAGAATAACACTTAAATTCATTTTTTGACTATACCACACAAGTTAGGGAAAATCACATCACTGGGAAAGTCACCTATGCTCGTTCAATATCACTGTGCAGTGGCGCATTTTACGTAAGATGTGGCACTGAGGAGTTGATCGATGTCTTACGTTGATGCGTAGGCGCCGTCCTCCTCGATGCCGTACTGATAGTTGGCGATCCGAGCCAGCCTGTCGGCCGCGGCCGCAGCCACCAGGCAGAGGAGTACAAACTGTGGGATAAACACACTAATTCAGTCACAGAAAGGACACAGGAGCACAGACTGAGTGGGAGCAGACACACTAACTCAGCCACAGAAAGGACACAGGAGCACAGACTGAGTGGGAGCAGACACACTAACTCAGCCACAGAAAGGACACAGGAGCACAGACTGAGTGGGAGCAGACACACTAACTCAGCCACAGAAAGGACACGGGAACTCAAACTGTGGGGTTAGACACACTAACTCAGCCACAGACACCATAAAGGAGCACAAAATTTCGGAGTAGACACACTAACTCAGCCACCAGAGGAACATAAACTGTGGGAGATGACGCACTAACTCAGCCACCAGAGGAACACAAACTGTGGGAGAAGACGCACAAACTCAGCCGTGGAGACAGTGAAACACAAACTGTGGGAATAGGTACACTAACTCAGCCACAGCCACCAGATAGAGGAGCTTAACACTAACTCAGCCACAGAGACATGCAGGAGCACAAACTGTGTGAGAATAGAGTTAGAAACTCAGTTACAGCCACGAGACGCAGAAATACTAGTTGTGGGAGGAAGTATGTCGTTTTTCTTCTTCAAACACTAGATACGTCTGATACGCTTCAGTCACTAGATACGCTCGTATGGGAGCGTATTTTGACACAGAACGCGGACCGGGTGATCTGACCGGGTCAAATCCGGTAGGTCACAGTGACGTGATCGAGTTGTGGTTGTAGACGCGGACTTTTCTTTTGGAGCGATTAAGTGAAGCGTGCTCGCATTTTCCATGTCAGTGATGTAAGTGAAAAATCAGTTTCATATAACTACAGTCAGGTTAACACCAATCTCAGAAATCTGAGGATTTGAGCAGGCGCACTACTAGACCAATGGATGCTGAGTAGCACTGTCAGAAGTACCCCCTAAGCTCCTAAAAACTTCCATCGCAACTTTTCTCGCTTTATCGAACCTTACTATCGCTAAAGCAAACATGGCCTATTGAGCGGCCGCGCCTCCCAGCACGGAGTATCCGCTCTATAACACGAGCGCCGGCTGCGGTATCTGCACCCGGCCGGCCGCGCGCTGCCCGCGCTGTTTGTGCCGGCCTGTCACCCGCGCCACGGCTGCCGGCGGCTCCCGCTCCGCCGTTTTTGCGCCGCCGCCGGCCCGCAGTCGCACACTCACAGTCTTCATTGTTGGCCGGTGGTGGATTCACTGATGCATCTGGCCCCGTACACACACGCTTAAATACCCCTCACGCACTGTTGCCCGCGGGCTAGAGGCGCGCTGCGCTGTCACCCACAGTTCAGCAGGGCGGGCACCTGCACGACAGGTCAGCATGTCGAGCCGGTGTACCGACATGCCGGACGCGCCTGGAGGGCCGCATGCTCGGCCGGAGTTTACGGCGATGAATGAGCGGTATTTCGGCGCGGCCGTAATGAGACGTAATCTCTGTTTGTTGTTCGATGCGCCGGAGCGACCACTGCGTGAAGCGATTGGTGAGTCAGAGGCACCTCAGTGGAGATGAATTGGTGACGAAGGAGACGTCAGATGGCAATCTGTCAATGCGAGGCGTGGGGTGGGCTGTCTGTACGATGCGGTAGGCTGGTTACGGAGGACATGGTCATGGTCTGGTTACGGAGGACATGGCGGTCTGGTACGGAGGACATGGCGGTCTGGTACGGAGGACATGGCGGTCTGGTACGGAGGACATGGCGGTCTGGTACGGAGGATATGGTGGTCTGGTACGGAGGATATGGTGGTCTGGTACGGAGGATATGGTGGTCTGGTTACGGAGGACATGGTGGTCTGGTTACGGAGGTCATGCTGGCCTGGTTACGGAGGACATGGTGGTCTGGCTACGGAGGACGTGTTCACATAGTGGGCTGGTTATACGGAGAACAACTTTGCCTCATTGTGTTTGAACATTATGTATGCCTCAAAGAAGAGTGCTGCGTTATTCTTTGTACCTATAGCATATCACTGAAATTATTTCTTAACGCGAACTACTATTTCCACTCTCCTTACCGTTCATTCTCGGTCACCCTGTGTCTGACCAAATAACCGATATCTAACATGTAAAAATGCCATGTTTGCTGATAAAACGTGTTTGTTCAAAGCTGCCGGGATCTCCTCCTTCTTAGTTTCTTTGAACATGTCCGTTTGACCATATCGCGGTGTGGTTTAGTCCGTTCGCGATATCATGTAGCCCGGTATATAAACCAGATATTTTGGAGAAACGGTATCAGTTGAGAAACGGATCCACCCCCGGCCTCGCCATGAAGACAGTAAGTTCCACGACGCGATGGGGCAGAACGAGTGACAATTCTGGTAGCGATAGACGCGAATTTTTGTGTGACTGTGTACATCTCTAGTGTTTTAAGGACATACCAGCCGAGGAATTAGGCTATAATGATTTCAAAATTCTTGATTAAAACACTGAAGCATTGAACTGGAAAACCGTAGACATGGTAACATTATGCCCATATTCACGGCCATTCCCATGTTGTACAGCAAGTTCCGCTAAAAACATAATAATATATAATAAGGGAAGTTTGAATATTGTTGTTTGGCGTTTAAGTATTGAGAATCTGTGTCGTGCAGGTCATCCTCCTGTGCCTTGTTGCTATGGCCGTGGCCGACAAAGGAGCTAAAATCGCTAACTACCAGTACAACATTGAAGAAGATGGATCGTATGATGCCAGGTACGTTGGCCAAGATAACTGGAATTTCCGTAACATTTCATGTAGTAATATTATAGAAAATAATGAGTTATGTCGTATTAATGTCATAGCGAAATGCCATTTAGCTTATTAACATTTACCTTTTTAACATTTACCGGGTAAATGTTAAATAGGTAAACCTTTCAATATTTTGGGAAAGTAGAATTTTTTCAGTCTTTTTTCCCACGACACTCTTCGCGTAAACAACATTATGCCGTGTTCTGGTTGTCAAATAATCGACATAAGTATTATATCGTCTGTTAAAATCCACAGGTACAGAACCACCAATGGTATCCGAGCTCAGGAGGACGGCATCTCCTACCCAGGCAGTCTGCCCGACACTGGCAACTACGCGAGGAGCGGCTCCTACTCGTACGATTGGGAGGGCGTCACCTACACGGTCACCTGGACGGCCGACGAGAACGGCTACCACCCCGAGGGAGCTCATCTGCCCGACTTCAGTTTCACAAGGGAGCACATCGGCGAAATAGCTGAGCTCCTGTAAATATCGCATCTTCGCGCCGTTCCAACGAATGTCTTCAAATGATGCCGTGCCAACGGGAGAACGCTACTGAACCGGCTGTGGCCGGATCACCGTGGTCCGTGATCCTCTAACTGTGACGCTCAGCTGATAAACGTTTGTCATGTGGTGCGTTTCCCGGTTTCTTCGTTGATTTGTCCTTCGATTTGTCCGTGGTCTGAGAGTTTCTTCGTGCAATGTTTTGTCCTGTCCTACGTCTAATGTTGTGTGGTCTGTTTGTCTGTAATAATATTCGTACACGAAGTATGCATTTTTAAAGGATTTTTTTTTCGAATAGAGATGAAAACTCGCAAAGCCGTTAGCTTATTTTCTTTTTAACTACTGAGTTACTAATGACACATCTCAAATCAACATAGCAAATCAAATTCACAACGAAGAATTTATTTGGAACCTATAGAAGTTAAACTCATTGGCATTAGCCGGTCCCGTAGCTCAGTTGGTAGAGCGTTGGACTCCGCGTGGTGAGAGCACGCGTTCCCGGTAACAAACAGTCCGGGTTCGAAGCGCGACGGGCGCTTGACATTTATGGGCCTCCTGACAGGTATGGTTGCGGTTGGTGGCAGGCCGTAGCCAGGCGAAGTCAGTGAGGGGACCGGCCGTGCGCGGCTATGTGCGCACGTTAAACTTTGGACTCTAAATTCTGCCATAGAACTGGAATTGCGCGATCGGAGGGTAGAGGGCAGGGTCACCGCAACAAGCTTCGCTTAGCGGTGGCCCTGTCCTTGTGAATCCTTCCCATAAAAAAATCGGACTAAATTTATAAAAAAAATTAAGGTAAACTCGTCACCTCAAGCTCAACTTTCCGCGAAGATCAACACTCATTAAAAAAAAAAACAAGCCCGAACTTACAATATCAATGTGAGCAATAACCTAATCTTTAAAGAACAATTTATCGCAACTATTCTTTTGGAAACGAAATCCTGTATAAGATTAACTACATGGCGCCAATGAAGTACCGAAGAAGTAGCTGGTTACCGAAGACGCAGCCGTTAGACGTTGTTTGTACAGAATTCCCAATTTATCTACATATATTTTGAGATTTGTTTAGTGGCTTGTTTTGTAAGAAATCCAGGGCAGTTGTTGGCGCCAGAGAGTATGTGTGGTTATCTACCATCAAATCATCAAGTTGCAAACTTGAGACCCTAAATTCGAACAAATGTTTTCCTCCCCGTCTTTGAAGGGTGTGAAAAAACACAAACTCCAGATTATAACCTAAACATTCCAGTTGGAAACACATGGAAAGTGTATTTTTGTAAAACAATGATATGAAGACGTGGGACAAGTATGACACTGATAACGATGGATACTCATTCAGCACAGGGACAACATTGACCGGACAACGGACATGAGCACACAGTGATGGCAGAGAAGAGACAGGCCTTACAAGTGGTCCTGGATTTCACCAATATGCTCCCGGGTGTGGCTGAAGTCGGGCAGATGATCGCCAACAGGGTGATAACCGTTCTCGTCGGCCGTCCAGGTGACCGTGTAGGTGACGCCCTCCCATTCGTACGAGTACGAGCCGCTCCTCACGTAGTTGCCAGACTCGGGGACGTTGCCTGGGTACGAGATGCCGTCCTCCTGAGCTTCGATGCCATTCGTAGTCCTATACCTGTGTGCAGAGAAGACGTTTATTGTATAAAAATGACTTGCCACTTGCGATTTAATGTAGTCATTATAACCTTCTTTTTTGTAGATGAAGGTTATAATAACTACATGACTGGACTACCATAACAATAAAAACAGCAACAGAGGGACACAAAAGCCATCGAGAACTGCCATTTCGTCGTCTTAAGTAAGCAGATTCATGAAGCAGAATTAACCTCAAAACATGCCAAACAGTTCACCGAGAGAGGACCGATTCCGGCCCGGTAAATGAAAAAGTGATCTTTGCGTGTTTTTACCTGGCGTCGTAGGATCCATCCTCTGCGATGGCGTACTGGTAGTTGGCAATTCTGGCCGATTGGTCCGCCACCGTCACACCCACCAGGCAGAGGAGCAGAATCTGTCACAGGAAGATTGTTAAAAATAACTCAATGTGGTTAGGCTAGAGAATAGCAATTCATATCAAACTGAATGACTTCAAATTAAAAGCCTCAGTACCTAATTAGTTAATAGAAGAGGATTGTGCGTTTACTTTGAGATAATATAACGAAGAATCGTTGTCAGGAACCAGCATGTGAACAATACGTTGACTTGAATCGACAAACGAGCTATTTTCTTCAAAAAAGTTGAAGAAGAAAGGTCTTCTCAGGAGGGAGACATTTTTCTATATCTCGCTTTACACTTTACTATATGGTGAAGCTGGGTCAGAAACTTATAAACACTATCCACAGACAACCGATGTCTCGGCGGCGACTCACGGTCTTCATGGCGGCTTGGAGCGGGTGTGGGATCCGCGACACTGGCTTCTGTGTGCACTGGTACGGATTTAACACCTCGTTGGGCCTTATATACCCCCAAAACGCACGCGCTGACCACACTGGATTACAGGCCCGAGAATCACATGAGACCGTTTAGCGATCGCTTCAGATTCGCACAGCAGCACATGTCGAACATGAGTTTTGTGTCCTTTTTGCGGTCGCGCAGGAATCGGCCTTGCACTCTCCGACGTGCTAGCAGCTGGACCGATTGGAGTCACAGTCAGCATTATTACGGTCAATGGTATAATATTTACGCGTTTCGCCTTATGTTTTGTTCTGTCAGTCACAAACATTTCTTTTCGATGAATGCCATCAGCTTGCTTTCCCTGATATATAAGTACCCATCTTGTCGGGGCTAAGTAATTTATCTAACACCAGAAAGCTCTGAGTCTATAATTTTCTATCTGCTCTGTATCAGTTATTGTTTATCTACATAGAGTTGTGCATATGACAGTAACTTGTGCTTCTGATCGCTCATAGTATGTCATATCATATTCTCAACTAAAAAATGATGCATGGATGGATAAATAAACATCAATATTCAATGTACAACTCTTCTAAACGTTGTTTCTGATATAGGTATATTCAGATAACTGTAGTCGACGTCGCATAGTGTATTCCTTACTGACAGATCAAGCACATAAACATTGAGCTAACTTCACATTAACGGTATTATAGGATTAAATTGGACTTACTCCACAAGAGAATCGTTTTCGGTCGGAGCTTTCGACATGTATTACATGTCCTCTTCAGCGAAGGTCGGTAATCGGGGCGAAAATAAAACGTTCGGGTCGAATCGATTCGACCCGAACGTTTTATTTTCGCCCCGATTACCGACCTTCGCTGAAGAGGACATGTAATACATGTCGAAAGCTCCGACCGAAAACGATTCTCTTGTGGAGTAAGTCCAATTTAATCCTATAATATCTATTTGCTCTCCACACTAACATGTCTCTAACCCGCGCACCGACGGGGGGGGGCGGATATCCGCCCCCCCCTGAGGTTTTTCGCGGATAGCGGGAAAACCGCGGCGCGTAGCGCCGCGAAATTTGGTATGACTATTCTCTCATCAATTTTACACATGGTGTGCAAGTTTGAACCTCCTAACTTTTAAGGTCAGGTCACCAGGTCACTTTGAATGACCCAACCTCAAGTCACTTTTTTGCAACTTTGTCACCGTGCCAGAGCTACAGTAGATGTCGGAGGCCTTTGAAAGTCGCAGGATGTTATTAGGTCATTAGTAGCTACAATTTGTATATCTCGGAATTTTGATGTCGGTGACCTAAGGTCAGGTCAATTTCGCGACCTCCCCATTATAAGTCAATGGGGGAAAAATCAACTCCCTGTTTTTACCACTAAAACGGGTCGGAATGGCCCCATATACCATACATGACTTCACATACGATCAACCTTCACTACCTTGAGGTCTGTTTTGCTGTTGGGCAGCTGTAAGGTCATGTGACGTCATCAAAGGTCACCAAAGGTTTTTTGCCAATAACTCCTTACAGGAACAAGATACAGCCGCGCGGATGGTCTCATTGTGTTCAGCTCGTCAAGACGCATCGAATGATATACATGATGACCTCGAGGTCACGTGACCTGAGGTCAACCTTTGACCTTGACCTTTCGAGGTCAACATATATATCATTCGATGCGGATTGACGAGAGGATCACGATGATGCCCTTAGTTTGTTCCTATCTTGACTACTTCGAAAGTTATTCGAGAAAAACCCTCTCCATATCTAGCGCCGCCATTTTGACTTTTTCGACCCCTGTGACGTCATCTTTGACCTGACCTGAAAATGACCTTAGTAAAAATTGTAGACCTTGTCCGTGCGTATCCGATGCCGTTTACCGCTTGTCGCTATCTTGCTTCGTTCTCGAGATCTCAGGGGGGGGCGGTCATCCGCCCCCCCCGTCGGTACTAAGTTGGCGCAGACCCCCGTCGGTGCGCGGGCTAAGTCTCTTCACATTAACGAGTAAGACGAAGACACAGGTCTCAGGTAGCTAATAGGCATATACAGATATTAATTCCAATAATGCACTCAACTGGCGTCTATTCGTGATCCTCCACGTCTCCGATATGTTCGCGGGTGTGGCTGAAGTCGGGCAGGTGGTCACCCTCCGGGTGGAAGCCGTTCTCGTCGGCCGTCCAGTTCACAGTGTAGGTGACGCCCTCCCATTCGTACGAGTACGAGCCGCTCCTCACGTAGTTGCCAGACTCGGGGATGTTGCCGGGGTAGGAGATGCCGTCCTCCTGGGCCCTGATGCCGTTGGTTGTCTCGTACCTGTGTTTTTAAGCATTTGTTTTATCAATATCTAAGTAAATTATCGGGCTATTTTTAGGTTATCATATGGTGCTCGGACTGCTCGTTTCGGAGCTAGATTGGTGAAACAAAGCTCATCAGGTTAAGGATAAATTCTAAAATTCTAGTCTGACTTCAAATGAAGAGTTTTGAATAGTATCGTAGTTATCTTGCAGTGCGATTTATAGAGTGCTTGGCTTTGCTTAGAAGACAAAAAGAGCGTATGTCAAGATTTCTGTGGCATCCTACAGCCCAAGATGGATCATGCTAGAATCCTGAGCCTCTTGGCGCTTTCTCTTACAATGGTGCTTTCTCGGCACCTTTTTAACACCAGCGCGTGCCGGCGCATATAAACTTACTGTGCTGCGTACGAGCCGTCCTCTTCAATTCCGGACTGATAATTCACAATCCTGGCATTTTGATCGGCCGCAGACAGGGCAAAGGCAACCAGACACAGAAAAACGACCTGGCGAGTGAAGGAGGTTAGCTTTGCCTTGCATATGTGGGACTAGGAGTTTTTAGTGGGTAGGTACGCGTCACACGGAACTGACTTGGGATTTAGCCATTTGTTTGATTTTCCGTTTGTAAGGGAATAATCGCACCGTCAACAACCATTCTCCGTTAAACCCGAATAGACTCCTGATCGGTATTTCACTACATTCTTACCACAATATGAGCATGATTACACTAATCTTCAGGGTTGGATCAAATGCCAATCACTCACAAATGCACTCTTTTCTAACGCACCTTATGCGGTGCCTACAAACACGCGCACCCGAAGCAGGTAAGCTCTGTGCTTTAGTCTGTGGCAGTGGGACGGCTTAATATTTGAACTTTGGAGGACTTACGGTCTTCATGATGGTGTTCGTTGCTGATCAGTAAACGCACTGACTCTGGAACGCGGGCCAATACTCGCTTTTATACACGTGCACAGCTATTGTTGTCAGAAAGGCTGATCAGTGCATTCTTTGCTGAGTGTTCAGATTTCGCACGGATTAGGTTCGCACTTGGTTTTGCATATACATAAAAGTAATCTAGCCATTTGCCAATGATTCATCAATGGCGTGCCGTGCATAATTGATCAGGATTGGCTTGATAGTTTCATTTCTAAACATAGAAAAGCAATCAAAGTGTCCGGTTTGAGCCGCTGATTTTAAAGAGATCAGGGGTATCGTGCAATGGGTCTTATTTGTTTTGCTTTGCACGAATATTCGTAGATGCCTGTTATTGCCGGTTGCTGACATTCACTGGGTGTCCTTAACCTTTCCTAAAAAAAAATACACTTTGCGAAGCGTTTCAGTTTCCCGCATGGTGTATAACGAAAAGGCGTGTGTGAGCTTATGGTCGAAAAGGCTTACATTTGCCAATAGATAACCAGTATAACGCCTTTTGGGGCGACTAACGGAGCGAGCGAGAGGTTGGGCCTTGCACGTGCGAAATTGCGACGGGGTACCTCCCACTGACTTGTGCACGGCACCCTACTAACCGGTCTCTAGCGATGTGCCAAATTTGGGCACAATCGGCCCAGCCGTTCTCGAGATCTGGAAGCGGCACCCTGCACGTGCGCACGTGCAAAATGGGTCCCAACTGACTTGTGCACGGCACCCTACTAACTGGTCCCTAACCGTGTACCAAATTTGAGCGCCATCGGTCCAGCCGTTCTCGAGATCTGGAAACGACCCCTGCACGTGCGCACGTGCAGCAGCACCCCAACCTTAACACATGCAGATGAATTATCTGATGGAGACCTAACTGTGTACCGAGTTTCAATTCAATCGGCCCAACCGTTGTGCCGTTATTGAGGTTGCAATTTTGGGGGTTCTTAAAAAATGTCCAACTTTACCACGCGCCACGTGCGGTGGTTGGCAAGAACGCATGGTGGCCATCACACCACATAACTTTTACGTCCAAGTGACATTCAGTAAAGAAGACCGCTTGTCAATCGGATGTCCCGTTCCTAAGATATTAGCTTTTGAAGAGCGTCCCCACGGCCGGCCGGCCGGCCGGCCGGCCGGCCGCTCATACTCAGAAATTTCCGTTAATCTAAGGAAAGACTCCGCTCGCTTCGCTCGCTCCGTAAATATTTACGCGCGTAAACATATTTATTGTCATTTCACCCAAAATAACAGTTGCAACACAGGACCACTGCACAACATTTGAAAAGATGATGAACACATAATTAAAGGAATCACAAACACTGACATGAGCATTGAGCATGGCCAATCTCATCGCACAAACTCGGCGGCTATTCAAGGAGCACTACTATCGCAGTATCTAAGGAGGAGAAAAGACAGTTTCAGACACAAGAGTCTTCGGCAGTCAATAGGATTCGTGATAACCTATACAAAAGTCTCTACAGGCCGCTACTCGTCTACAGATGATCCTCCACTCCACCGATGTGCTCGCGGGTGTGGCTGAAGTCGGGCAGGTGGTCCCCCTCCGGGTGGAAGCCGTTCTCGTCGGCCGTCCACGTGACCGTGTAGGTGACGCCCTCCCATTCGTACGAGTACGAGCCGCTCCTCACGTAGTTGCCAGCTTCAGGGACATTTCCAGGGTAAGAAATGCCGTCCTCCTGGGCCTTGATGCCATTTGTGGTTTCAAATCTGGAAAAAAGTTGGCGCTGAATGTTTCATATCTATTTTGTGAAACAAATTTACAAATCTTGCACCATTTGTACCTCTCTCGGAAGCTCATTCTATGTTTGTATCACCTCATTGAAAAAGTACAAATGTTATTTACGCTACCACCTACCATTAGCTTCACAAGGCGTCTGCTCTGCACTGTTCGATATTGCAGGTAGCGGTATAATTCATAAGCCGGCACTTCATGTAATAAGCCCCAGAACCTTGTGCTGCTCAGAAAAATGAGTGCACTATTTCCTTAATTTGCATTGTTCATAACAATTTCCCACTGGTCCGCGCGTGTAAGAATGTTTGACTGGAACTGGTACTTACTGTGCTGCGTACGAGCCATCCTCTTCAATTCCGGACTGGTAATTCACAATCCTGGCGTTTTGGTCGGCCGCGGACAGGGCAACAAGACACAGGAAGATAATCTGAAATCGAATGCGTTTTGTAATACCTTAGAAGACGAAATAGTGTAAAATAAATAGGGTAACTCCGGCGAAACGGTTACATGATAACGCACACACAAAAAAAAAAACAAGAAAGGTGCCACAACAAACGATGGAGCTTCACCAGCAGTTAATCAGTCATTACCACTCGTTAAATCGAGCTCACGTATATATTTAGGCAGTAACCATCTAAAACGTTAATCCGTTAAATTTCATGCAGAATATAATCCATCAAAGTCACTACCAGCTGTTCTGGGCTCCGATATCGTGTACAGCTAATGTTCCTCAGTGGTCAACTCACGGCCTTCATGATGAGATGGATAGGTGGTCCGATACACTGGTGAACTGATACCGATCCTCGATAGCCAAGATCCTTTTATACCTGCCCTTCTCCCGACCAGCGCTGCATTCTTGGTCAATGCAATCATTCCGACACAGATTACCCTCATCAGTTCGATCAACGAACTCAACTAGTTTCTCCCCAGTGCAGCTGCTCTCCGTCTGCATAGCCAAACCATTGGGCACTGCGGTTTGCAGAATTAATAGTACCACAGGGAGTGGGGCACATTGGAGAATACGTCTGGCTTACAGTAGGGGAAAGTGGGGTAAGACGGGCACCTTAACTTTGGAGCCATTTTTCGGCCGGTTAGAAACATCATAGAAACGGGAAACTGAGTGAAAACCTTTTACAGACATTTTACTTCCATTTGCCAGAAGATGAGACTTAGACCTGACTCAACAAATAAACTGCAGCTATTTTTGCAAAACCTTGCAAAAACCCATCTTACCCCACTCCATGGGGTAAGACGGTCACATGGGTAGGGCAAGACGGCCAGCTTCTTTCACCGACCAGCACAGCTCGCAGCAAATGCCCGAGATTAGCCGCATTGATACAGTCGCTCGTTGGTCTCAAGTGCTTCGGAAATGGCAGTATACGAGATTCGTGCAGAAGGCGTATACTCGTATATAGGCCCTAGTTCAGAAGCCATGTAGAGCCGTTTTTCACATTCATTATTCGAGAATAAACTGTGCCGAAGGAATATTGCTAACATGTCTGTGAGTATCGGAATCGAACATATTCTTATCAGAAATGCTTCTTTTTTCCTACAGCAACAAAAATATTTTTACCATTACAGACCCATCGGATTCATAGTTGCCCGTCTTACCCCAAACTCAATGTCAGAAGTTCAGCACGATTTTTCTCTGTGGACAATTTGATGCAGACAAAGCAAATCCGCGGTGAATGAACACTGGAGGCATATGAGTGTGCCACAAGTGATTGCCAGTTTTTAACTCTATAGTGCTGCACACAAAAGCTTGCACAATACATTATGAATGTTTTCAATGAAATGAGTGTTTTAAAGAAATCAAAATAAAAGATTATTGACCGAACACAAATTCACCAGACTTCAATGGCGGTGTGTAGTGGGAAAGGCTATTCTGGTCCTAATTTTTCTCGCTCGTAGCGCTATTGGTTTGGTCTGCAGAGGGGGTGCCCGTCTTACCTACCTTGACCGTCTTACCCCACTTTCCCCTATTAGTGGTGAAAGAACAAATATCGATTATTTATCGTCAGGGCCCATATTGTGTAATTTAACATGTCTGAATGACCTTGGCTGGGTTACATAGCTATGGTTTTAATGAAGAATGAGGACGCTGTGCTGGTTTGTTTATAAATGGGACAAAGGTCTTCGCTCAATCTTTTTGGTATTTCACTCTCCAGTAATTTTATCTGCTCACTTATTCCCTTCCATCGCTTTTTGTTTATTTGTTTATTTGTGATTATCACCAACAGAGAAATTCTCCACTAACAGGTGAAGTCAGGAAAATAAAATGCATCAAAACACACAACGGTATGAGGGAACCGCACGAGTATGAACATTCATTCAGACTGAAAACAAAATCCACAGTTCGAAGTATAAATATGAGAATGAAGGTAAGAGTGAGAATACGTGTATAAGTAAATATGAAAGTAAAAATAAAGAAAAAAACTTTGATATTAAAAAACTACAATAAAAACCACAATAAAAACCATCAGATGAGCTGAACAGCGAGTGTAACATGAGCAATGAGATGACTATGTGGATAAAACATGATGGATCAAACGAGCCCTAAAAACTCCAAAGCTGTCAGAGAAGATGTCTGCGCTCGCATTACTTGCCAAAAAGGCGTTCATGTGTTTTGGGATCCTGCAGAACATCCCAGTTCCTATCGTGCTCACGCGTGCTCGTGGTACATGGAACAGTGTGAGGGTGCGGGTCGATCGGGGTGGCACATGTAGATGGAATGAGTCGAGTAAGACTAGCACATCGATTTTTCCTCGCACAATGTTTCTAAGAAAAATGATGTCGTGCTGAATTCTACGTTTTGCTAGGGTTGGCAATTTGAAGTGGGACAGAAGACTGTCATAAGAAAGTGAGGCTGTCTGTCCAGAAGTGCTATGAGATATGAGCCAGATGAGGAACTTGTGCTGCACCCGATCGACCCGCACCGTGTGGGACTTGGCCGCCCCCGCCCAGACCACGCTGCCGTACTCTAAAATGGAACGCACGTTAGCGTAGTAGGCAGCGAGCGCCGCTCCGCGGTTGAATTTTGACTCGCCGACACCGACCTGGAACGAACGGATCAGAAGACCGAGCGCACGGTTTGCTACAGGTGAAATAAATTTTCGTATTTTCAATGTTGGGCGGTGTTCGCTCGATAATTGTATTTAAAACGCGCCAATAAACGTCTTAAGAGTTAAGTATAATCCGGGAGCTTGTTTTGATCCAAGGTGGATGACGAACTACACTCTCGTGCTGTACCTGCAATTTTTCACACTGCAAATGGGACGAATTTCATCCCGCCTATAAATAATACGAGAATGAATGAATGAATGAATGAATGAATGAATGAATGAATGAATGAATGAATGAATGAATGAATGAATGAATGAATGAATGAATAAAGAACAAAGCAATAGAGCAAAACGACTAACGAACGATCGCACGACACACGGGCGCACCAACAGACAGGCGGACGGGCTGACTGGCGGAGAAACGGACGAATGAACGAACTAACTAATAAATGAATAAAAACCGTTGCTAACATATACTTTTACTCTTCTGATTTATGACCGAAAGGAATATAGGTATAAACAAAGATATACAGAGGTCTATGCCGGGAGTTATAGATCCGATTACCGAAATGTAAAGTTCTGCACACTTATCACAATTATAATCGGTGTTCTAAAGCTGCTCTTCTTCCTTTTTCAGCAGCAGTGCGAAGGATCACCGGTTTCTAGTGTGGAGGGCAGCCGGTCAATAACCTCCCTCTGCTTAGGTGAAGACCTTGACGTTCCTAGAACACTGCACTGGACACTGGGCAGCTAAATTGTTAAAACGTTGTTCCCTGGATCGGTTACCACATTGGCCTATCTTTTTGGATATGTGCACATGTCTCCTGCACCTGCGCTGGCCTTATTCAAACGTTATTTAAATTTTGCATTGTTTTTAATACGTTCTGAGAAGTACGGTTAATCAGGCCCTTGAGCCAGACTTCATGCCTGTCTCCGCCATTCTATTGGGACCATTCAGTAGCCCCCAGGTGGCCCTGCTCTGATTTTGCCGGCGACTGATCTGCTTTGTATGGAAATACCACACGGATGTGCTTACATAAGAATGGCATCACCTGTAGGTGCTGGGACAGAACGGGACCGAATTTTCCGCCGCTAATCTGACAGCTGCTCCGGGTGACTTGGTGGCTTACACGCACGCCGTGCTACACATAGCCCGATTTGGCTCACCAGAATGCACAAATCCCAATCAGGGGAGTCCGTCTTGGCGCAATCTGAGTTGATTGCGCGAATCTGAGCCCATGTACAAACTGTCCAGGTATAAAAGCCGAGCAAGGCTGTCTGCTCACCACCAGTGCTACAACTGAGGCAACGCCATGAAGACCGTGAGTGTGAGCCGAGCAAAGGTCGCCAGAGTTCAGTGTAGTGCTTATTTCGTGGCTGTCACCGATTGGGCCGCACGGCGTGTCACATCTCCTCGTGGAGCTCTGAGCACGTATTACTCGGTGGAAAGCTCGTGTCATTCCGGGCTCGGAACATGTATGGCGTAGTGGATGGTTCTGAGCGAGTTGTTTGTGGCAGGATTTTGTGATCAGTGGTGTAAATTGCACCTGCTGTGTGGACGGGGATAGACCAGAGTTTTCGTGTACCTATGGCGATGAGGAAAATTGAGCCATAACTGTAAACGTAGTAAAAGGCAAAGGTAGCAAAAAGAAAGACCGTGGTATTCATAATGAAAATCACCGATTTATGGCTCATTTTCTAACTGAGTAAGAAAGTTTCGTCTCTTGGTTTAGTTCTGTTCTCTAATGAACAGCAGATGTGTTGTTTGAGTCACAGTCTTTGAGTCACAGCACTCACTGTTCCCTGATTACCGCTGCCGGAAGTTTGCTTACGTTCGATCACCACCGTCCTGCAGGTTCTCGTGCTCTGCTTCGTCGCGCTGGCCGCCGCTCGGCCCGACAAGAACGCCCGCATCGTCAACTACCAGGCCGGCATCGCCGAGGATGGATCCTACGACGCCACGTGAGTGCAACGGCCAACCAAGACGCGTCCTCACTTCCATCGGCAATCATATCTTCAATCTTGATCATTCGAAACTTGTGTTTTGACAGCAGTTCACTTTATCAGTTCGCTAACGTATGTTTCTGCAGGTACGAGACCACCAACGGCATCAGGTCGACGTCGAGCGGCATTTCCTACCCGGGAGACAAGCTGAACACCGGCAACTACGTGATCGAGGGAGAGTACTCGTACGTTGGCGACGACGGTGTCACCTACACAGTGCGGTGGACAGCCGACGAGAACGGCTTCCACCCGGAGGGCGCCCACCTGCCCGACTTCAGCCACACCCGGGAACACATCGGCTTCGTCGACGATCATCTGTAAACCATTGGAGCGTGTGTTGTTGTTAGTTGAGACTCGTCGAGTGTTTCCGTTTGTATTTTGTCGTCTGTTGTCTGATCTCCGTGTACAAGAAGTGTCGTCTCCGTTACCGATCCGTGAATTTGAATGACAATATATTTTGTGTACTCTGTTATTTCTTTTATCATGGAATGCATATAATGGGACCGAAAATAACTCACGCATCTCATTAAGAATATTAAATCATTTCAAATTCATGACGTTTATATAGTTCATGCGGCCAGACACGTTTAAAAACGGCTAAAACAATAGCCGGAGATGCACCAAGCAATATTCTTCCACGAATTGCTAACTCGATGCGACCCCCGTCCTCGCCGACGACAGCTTCAACGAGGTTGCGAAGAAGCTTAGAGGTTTAACATCTTCAGAGCCTGCCGGACTGCCACGATATGAGCGCTATCAGCACTCCAAGCTGGGATGAGAGATGGCGCCGATCTCATTCTGCATGACGCTTAACGCACCGTAATCGAACGGGCTGAGGTCAGGTGACTGAGTCGGCCACATTACATGCATACAGAGGTTATCTGACCCACTGAGCTCCTCCGCCAGTTTGTCTTGGACAGTAGCTAGCGGCGTTGTTATAGTGGGCGCTTTGTCCTGTTGAATTATGAAGTGACCCTCCGGATAGGTCGACTGCGTGGGACTCGCGGCGTCCCTCCCCGAGGGAGACCCGCTGAGGTCGGTTGGGGAGGCGGTCGCCCCCCGCCGACTCAAGACCACAGGATGGCGCGATGTGGGCGCCGCCGCGCTCGAGGCGGCCGGCGCGCGGGACACACCCGTCGAGGCCCGCCTCCACCACACCCTGCCGCCGTGGGCCGACAATTCTACCGTCCACTTCCATCTGGACCTCGGCCCGCGGGCCAGACGTGCGGCCCCGGAAGACCTTCGGCGTGCCGCAGCTGAAGAGCGTATCTGGGAGCTACCTGAGGAAGCCGTCTGGATATGGTCGGACGGATCGGCGGAGGACGGCGTCGCCAATGGCGGGGGCGGCGCCCTGATCCGCACCCCAACCGGAGATGACTGGGAGCTGAGGGTCCCTGCCGGCCGCCTGTTCTCCAGCACGCGCGCAGAGCTCGCCGCGCTGCTGGCAGCGCTGGAGGCAGCCGCTGAGCTGCCGGGAAGCGCGGGCCTGCCGGTGGTCGCCTGCCTGGACTCCAGGGCGGCTCTGTTAACGCTGGCTGCAGGCGCCTCGGCCCAGACCACAACACTGGGTGCCAGTGTGTGGACCCAACTGCTGCGCCTACAAGCAACAGTTCAATCCACCTTCAATGGGTTCCGGCTCACTGCGGGCTCCCGGGTAATGAGAGGGCGGACGCATTAGCGAAGGAGTCGGCCGGGATGTCCCAGCGGACGACGCCGGTCGACCCCCGCACCCTCACGCGGGCTGTTGCGCGGGTCGCCGGCAGGGCGTGGCGAGCGAGCCGGCCTGCGGGCTGGTACCGAGACGTCATGGCGGACCGCGCCCCCGACCCGGTCCAAGCCGCTACCAGGGAGGAGGCCATCGATGTACACCAGCTCCAATTGGGACACTGGGGACGGTCGGAACAATACCTTCACCGCATTGGGCGCAGACCGACACCCGAGTGCGCCCAGTGCAACGACAGCACATGTCCGGCGGGCCGATGTCTCGTCTGTGGCGAGGCCGCGGACACCCCGGCGCACGTCCTACTGGAGTGCCCATGCCTGTTCGGCCCCCGCCTCCGTGCGCTGGGTAACATCACAGGCGCGGCCCGAGACGTAAAGCGCGACGACGTGGTGGCGGCCTTGGCCGCCGGCTACGCGGCCCACAAGAGCCGCGTGGCTCCGTCACCGCCTGGGCGGTGACCGGGAGGAAAAACAACAACAACAACAACTTAACCTACGGAATGACGCATCTTTCCAAAGGCTTCTTGAAAATTACCCTGTTCTTCTTAGCTGGCGTCGACGAAGATGATAGAACCCTTCTGTCCATTTTTTGCCTCCGTAGCTTAGTTAGCAGAGCGTTGGACAGCTCTGTCTTTAAAGGGACCCTCCCACCTTCAAAAAAGTTAATGAATTGGCGTGAAAGTGATGTCGCTCGGTTCAGAAAGAGCAAAAACGAATAGCTACCAAATTTGATCGAAAAATATTCACCGGTTTTCAAGATATTAGACTTTTACTTTTGTTTACTTTTGGGATCTCCGCTGTTCCTAGCGACTTTATGTGAAAGTGCGGCATTTGTTGCGCGCAAAGCAGCATATACCACCGCGTGCTACAAAACGTTTTAGTCAAACATTTATCGGACGTTCGAAAGCCTGATGACGTCATCAGATTCCCGTAATGGTTAAGAGATAGGGACCACGCTGGTCCCACCCTGCAAGTAAAGGGAAGAAATTTCTTGAACACCATAAAGCTGCGGGGGTTGCGACCAGGATAAATGGTGGTTTCTGAGCCTGGCCGCAAACTTGGCTATCTCAACTCAAAACTAATGTTAAGATGGGAGGATCCCTTTAAAGTAATAAGAGCGCTGGACTCCCAGTAGTAAGAGTCCGGGTTCGAGCCGCTCCGGCGCTCGATATATGAGAGTCCTGACATGGATGGTCTGCGGTTGGCGGGAGCGACCGCAGCCAGATAAAGTCAGCTGAGTGGGATAGGACGTTTCCGGCTTTGATGGACACGCTGAACTTTCGCATTTAGATTCTCCTGTTACCCAAAATTTCCTGATCAAACGATAGGGGTCGGGACCTACCCAGCAGCTCTGTTTGGCGTTGGCTTCGGTTATGTCATCCGCTCATGTAAATATTTCAACCATTTTTATTAGACCCACGCCTTTTCTCGATTACCTTACCGCTGAAATGGCTGTTACATTTTCGGTAGTTCTGGCCGACACCAGCCGTCCCAAAATGAATACATCTTCTAAGGATATATTCATTGTTTTGTGTTATATTATTATAGGTAGGACTTCGTCTTTAAATGGGGTGTCCCCGTCGACGATGACTTAAATAAACTAAAAAAAGGAACCCCCATGTTGGATCCTTGCCTACACCTGCTGTCTCATTCGTCGAGAAACTCGCATCGTTCTGCTTTTCACGTCAAGCACAAGCCGCTCCCGTCCTCTGCGCGTAGGCAGTCAGCGCAAGGCTCCTCTTCACCTATTTATCCATGACTGAACACAAAGACAAGTTCAAATCTGCACGGACCCCGGGTGACCGTTCGCGATAGGTCCTGTTTGCAGTGATTGACTGATCTTTCACAATCAAAGCGCCCGTTAGGCGACATACAAGAGAGGCGACAGGACTTTTCGGACACCCTGCAAAAATGCGTCTATCATTAATGTTACTCTGTCAAATAAGAAGGCAATCGAAGTACGAAGCAATTCGTGCAAGTACGAAGATATTTCAGAAAAGGCAGTGATGTCACCTGGTGAAGTCAGCAACAAGTATATTGATTTATACGATTTGAGAGATAGAACAACCCAAAAACAAAAGTTTGTTAGTTACACCCACTAAGCAAACCGAAATCAGCTTGGATAACAGGTATATTTTACTACGTCAATCAGATGCTAGATATCCTAAACAGCAAGTGGACAGCGCATACACATAGGACATTTATGCAAAAACCAAGACATGGACAGAAGAGCATTGCGCCCAAAACATTGACATTACGAGCATAGGAACGATGACATCTTTTTTCATGAATGGAAGAAACATGCCGACATAAGTACAAACTACACACAGGACGACAGAACATCGCTATTACAGTTGCTACGCAGACGTCTATTGCACACGTTACAGACATTTGAACGGTCCACTATGGTACACAGATGACTACACAATACATACACATGAACGCTGGATGTGGAGACATGAAACAAACATTCGAGTTGATTCTAGGAAAATCGGCGAACTGATGAATGGGGCTGATTCTTTGTCTACAGATGATCATCGACGAATCCGATATGTTCGCGAGTGTGGCTGAAGTCGGGCAGGTGGTCACCCTCCGGGTGGAAGCCGTTCTCGTCGGCCGTCCACGTGACCGTGTAGGTCTTACCCTCCCAGGTATACGAGTAGGTGCCGCTCATCACGTAGTTTCCGGTGTTGGGAAGGTTGCCCGGGTAGGAGATGCCGTCTTCCTTGGCCTTGATACCGTTGGTGGTCTCGTACCTGAAAGAAAACGTTCCTATCAGTGACACCATTCCGCACATTTGTAACTGAGTAATTTTGCGACCATAAATGGCATGAAGGTACTTTATATATAGAATCTGCCGATGCACATTCCTATGAATGGATGACTAGCACATGAAATGGGACTATTAACAGTTCTTACGAGTGACATCAACCCAACTGAATGTCATTGTATGCATGCTGTTGATTTTTTTAAGCTTCTTTCTCATACGAGAAGTCTCCAGGATGATTACTTACTCTGCGTCGTACGACCCATCCTCGTCAATGCCGGACTGATAGTTGACGATCCGGGCGTACTGGTCGGCCGCGGCCACAGCCACCAGACAGAGCAGGACAGCCTGTGCAGGGGAACACCTCGGTCAGCGCGACACTGGTGCATCCACTGGAAGCGGTCCCTAGTATGTGTGGAGCTTATCGAACACATCCTGACTGTGAATTTCGGGTAGCCATTAATCCATTTTCGGCCTGGTCTGACCTGTCCCTGTACCTAGAGGAATACATGAATTTATCGCCAACTCTATACAGCTCTACATATTTAGTCAATAGAATATGCAGATAATGAAAAATCATGCCATGATATGGATTTCAGGCTTCTTCTTAGCAGTGATTTAAACTAGCAATTATTGATTTACGTATACCTACGGAAAGTAAAGAGAAGTCATTGCTAAAGGAAAATAACTAAACAAGTAAGCACTGCACTTCACCCTTTACGTCGTCATGCACGTTGCACACTTATGAAAGAGAAACATATGTGATATGTCCAAGAAAGTTGTCGTACGACTGATGCTAGTGGGTACAACACAGTGACAAGTTTCTTCCATGTAAACAATTCTTCCTTGTGCAACTCGGAAGCGCAGCAGTGCACAATAAACCCTACTCTTGTTTCACAAGACTGGACGCTCTTTTCCAACACTCACGGTCTTCATGGTGTTGGGCCAGTTGCTCCACTGCTGCCCATGTACCGCTGACATCCTACTTATATAGTTGCGACAATGCGGTTAGCCAGTGGGGTTAAACCAGATCAGTCTCAAGTGCACTACACGTAAAACTCTGAGAAGGCGCAACACGCATGGCTTGATGTGATATATGCAACATCCTTCCCAGCTACTTACTTTACTGACAAGCCGCTGCGCAGTCGCAGCACTATGTAGGCTGTCAGGCAGTGTCAAATGCACCTTCTTTGTGAATCCCTCCAGCAAAAGAATAATACCTAAGCTCATGTGACACGGACAGCCGCTGCCGACGCTAGAAAAATAAACACATGTCGGTAATTAGTTGAATGAGAGCAATCCTCAAAGCTCGGCGTTTTTAATTTAGCTTGACAGACGGTTGCATGTCACGTTCATCAAAAGATCGTACAGTCGAGAGAAGTGATCATCGGCTGGGCAGTGATCATTTCAGCTTCGAATGGGATAGAGCGGGGTACGACGGTGACAGTGGTCCTTGCGGCGGCAGATGTCGGCGGCCCGGTCGTAGCCAGCGGCTATTGTCGCCGGCGAACACTTTGAGCCTCTTCGGCAGCCGGCTGCATTGCGGCGCGGTAGGTAAACTCTGGTGGCGTGGGTCTGCTCAGGGCTGGGCGCCGTGTCACTGGACGACCGCCGAGGAGCAGCGCTAAAACAACCACTCCGTGAGCCCTTCCTCACCGGTTACAGATGCCAACTGGGCACCCGGTTTGCTGCCCCATTCGCGGGTGGAGTCACATGATTGGCCGGCCTCGAGCTCCACCGGTTCACACCGATAGTGAGGGCTGAAGTACGCGTATTTGCAGCGTATCGTATCGTTGACCTTTCTATCAGCACCTCCCGTTATCTTAAATTTAGCAGCCTAGCGTCAATGTCTACTTTTATGATTTGACTCAGGCTACGTTCGTTTTCCCGCCGGATATACGAAGTCATCCGCTGTTCCGGTTTTGGATCCTATAATTACGCATACTGACCGAAAACTACAGACAGTTCGCAGCACGCAACACTGGAGACTGCAACAGCTCACGGCACGATAGCACTGGAAACTGCAACGGCTCACGGGACAATAACACTGAAAACCGTAACGGCTCACTACACACCAACATTGGGGATTGCAACAGCTCACAGCATACTAACGCTGGAACCTGCAACGGCTCAAAGGAGTTAAATAACCCTGTAATAGCTTACTGCTCATTAGCATCAGTAATTGCAACGACTCACAACGTACTAGCATTAAGGACTGCAACAATTTTTTTTAGTACAGTAACATCACTTCAAAAATCACAGTAATGATAAAGAAGGCTGCAACAGCTCACAGCATAGCATCGAAGACTGCAACATCTCACAGCATAGCATCGAAGACTGCAACATCTCACATCACAATAACATACCTAACGGTCTGCAACAATTTAGATCACAGTATCGTAGACTGTAACAGCTCACATCACAATAAGATTACAGTCCGCAGCGGCTCACAGCTTAAAATTGGAGACTATAGCGGTTCACAGCACAGTAACATCCGAGACTGCAACGGTTCACAGCAGACTAGCACTGGAGACTGCAACAGCGCACAGCACAGTAGCATTAATGACCGCAACGGTCCACTAATCAATAACACCAATACCTTCAACAACTTTCATTAGGTGTAGGTACAGAGAAGGAAATTCGCCCCTGAGCTTGCTTTCGAGTTGTTTGGTTTTCATAACTTTTATTGTTATGCATCTAAGCGCCACAGAAGCGAAATGTCACAGGGCGCATTAACACCACCCGGCACATCCCCGCCCAAGGCCCTATATAGGCCTCCCGCCCGGACGGCCGCGTTATGGAAATGGTCGGATGATGGTTATTAGTTATCAGCACGGGCGTAACAGTCGCCGGTTGGCAGTAACACTTCACCTGCACGCTTGCGTATTCTAATAAGCAGTGTGTTGGTCGCCGTGCTCCTGCGAGCCGGGTGGCCGCCGCCCTGTGCCGCATAACACCGGTGTAAGGCGGCGCAGTCTACCAGGCCAGTGGGCGGGCGGAAACCAGAGCACCGCGCCCGCTCCGAAAAACGGCCCGCCCGGCGCGCTCCGGACTGAGTGCCCGGCGTGCTGATTCGTTCCACATTTTTTTATTTTTATGTACACACATAGACCTCTACATACCTCTACATACATGCAGAGGTCTATGCCACACACTATCTTTAGACCATTTCAAAAACATGTGAAAATGGAGTGGCTGAACCGGCGGCCAATGCCAGCCGATAATGCTGCTCTCCGGATGACTTATAATTCAAAATTAACCCCACTGCCCATTCCATTCTCTGATTCATGCAGTATGTGCCTACTCTAACCAGCGGAGACTCTCCTCTCCGCCATCGAAGGGCGACTCGAACCAGACATTGCCTCTGGGAACCCGGTGTGCCAGCATCCGATCTACATGAGTTGCTCGGGCCTTCATACCAAGGCTCTATAGAAAGGTAGGCTGCTCCGGCCGCGAGAAGTGGCAACATGTATCAGCGCCATCTATGGGCGGGATGCGTAGACCACACTAGCGTCATCTATGGGCAGCGGGAGAACTACTGATTCGTGACGTCACAGATCACTCTGCGCCCGTCGGCTGCAATGCAACTAATGCTAAAATGCGTTTACTCCCGGTCATTCAGCTCAGCTAGCAGCTCACATTTTCACCAGACAGATCAGTGAGGAAAAATGAACCGTTAGAATTAACAACAATCGGTACAGGTAAACGTTCCGCCTTACCTACCTCTTAGATATAGGTAAGTTTCCACCCATCTACCGGACACAATGGGTCTGTTCCAGTCTCACTTCCTAACGCATCTAAACTCCTCCAAGATTGCTTCCCTGTTCAAGTGGCAGCTCTAGCCCCTACAAAGTCAAGGAGGGCCCTGCTCCAACCTCCTCTATCTTGCTCTTGGAGTAGGTAATGCATTCGCCATAGCCCATCCGTGGCTGTTTCTCTTTCGCTATTTCAAAAGTTTATCGCAACTGGACCGTTTCTGATTCTAGATAGCATCGTAATTCACTAATGCGTACTGAATCGTGAAATGATAAATTTCATATTGTGTAATGTATACCTAATACCTATATAAAGCACTTGTAATATATAAAGCGCCTGAAACAGCGGTACAGTACAGATGCAGGGCCGTTGCCTGGCCGTGCCAGCCAACATTTTTGTTTTGTTTTTTGTTTTTATGTGCGCAGCGCTTGTATACAAACACCTTAAGAAACAGTGCTACTTAAAATACCTATCGTTAACTAGCCATATTTCTTAAACCAAACCTCGCCGGACCTAGTGGTTTTCTTCATACGCCCCGGCCGAGAGGGGAGGGGTTAGTTGTAAGTTGATAAGACTCGCCGTTTCGCCCCTGGTTGAGCTAGATTTTCGCGGAAAAGACAAACGTATGCGCCGTTACGAGACGCACTACGCAGCGATTAGTAGCTGATTTCAAGGCCTCAGGTTAACCGGTCACATCTGAGGTCCGGTCAAGTGGCCCAAGCTAAGTGTCAGTTTTTGGCAAACAACTTCGTCAGAAATGTTCACAGAGCCGCGATTTTGACAGCATCTTGTTTGCCTGGCTCAGGCACGTCGAATGATATACATTTTGTTCGGTCGAGCTCAACCTAAAATGTTGACTTCGGGTGAAGGTCAGGTCAGAGCCCTTCAGGTCACCAAGTTGGTCGAAGGAGGTCATATCGCATATCATTCGATTCGACATGTGTTCCCGAGTCCATTGGTGGGTTTCCGTACTCCGCTACGCTAGCTCAATTTGATCAAGAGCTATTGACGAAAAACTTATGACCTTATCGACGTCATAAATGACGTCACACAAGGTCAGCAATACAAAAGTGAAGCATCGGATCGTGTGCATGAAGTCACGGTTCTGTGTGCTTGACATAGTTCTGGATCATTGCCGGCGCCATCCGGCGATGATCCATATTTACGTATCGTATCCATATTTTCCCATCGACTTATAATGGCGAGGTCACGTCATGGTGAGGACTTGACCTCAGGTGACCCTTAGGAAAAATCCAAGACATACAAGCTGTAAGACCTCTCATGGATACTAGGTCCTGTAAGTTCATCTCCCTGTGAAAGCTCCTCGGCTCTTGTGCACTGTGAGAGCGCTGCGAAGTCACGACATTGTGGGGCCGTGCAGAGGTTCACTTATGACATCATAGACCCGAAACTGACTTGACCCGAAAATGCAGTTGGTGTCAAAAGATCCGGCTTGAAGGAAAGACCAGGTAGGCCAAGTTTTGCCTCTCTATCGCCGGCGTGTTCCGAACTATCGCGAAAAACCCATGGGAGTGGGGGCGGCACCCGTCTCCCCCTTCGGCCGGTGAGGGTTAGATGGACGACATTGAAAACACATAAATTAAGGCAATAACATAAAAATCCAACACATAGGCAAGAAGTTGCTTGTGTCTTCCGGACGAACATCAGTTTGATCATTGATGTATGAGGCTTGTTTTCTATTCGTGGTAACTGCGATTCGGTACCTTATTCGTTCGGCACTGGTGTTAGCTCGACGTTCAAGACGCTCTAAATCGGACAAATGCGTTAACGAATGGAAAGTTGATGTGTAGCAGCCACGAGAACGACCTCAATTGTACCAAAATAAAGAAAAAGACCTTACGTGACACTCAAAGTAGGAAAAAACAGGTGCACAATATTCCCCTCCATTGACTATAACACTATCGGCCTTCGGGCAGAGTGATCTGTGACGTCACCATATTAGCTCCGCCCTATTTACAGCCGTCAGCCAATCAGCGCGCCGGCCGCTGTCCAACGGCCTTGAGCCAGCCTATTGCCAGTTTTTGATAGCGGAAAAGCACGGGAGCAGACCCCCCTGCTTCATACTGCCTTGTCGGCCATCAATATCTCGTCACGAAAGAAAACACCATTTCCAACCTAAGACTTTGACGTATATTTTCCTTTACGATACACCCACCATCCGTTTCGCACAACACAGATAGCGGCCGGCACACTCGAGTCGATATATTGGCCGCTCCTCTCCAACTGGGGTCCGTTTCCCACACCAGCGCAGTCAGAGCAGAGGTCAGGTCAGATCCGACTCCTCTCCGCCCCTCACAACAATCAACCAGCGGCGGGGACAAACGATAAGCAGTCGCGCCACGTTATATTTGAGCATATCAAACACGCGTCTAGAGCTATAGCGGTCAGTGGGCGCTGGCCTCGACTGTGGCGGCCGCGCTGTGCGGAGCGACACGGTAACGCGACACGGACTGACAGCGGCCGCCGGCACAGAGCGGCTCGGACGGCGGCGGCACCGCGCAACAAGGACTGGTGGGCGCGTCAGACGGCCGAGGGGCGGCGCGCAGCGCGCGGCCAGTACCATACACGGACAGAAGAGGCATGTTACACGAGCCCGCGGCGACACATACACTGACTGCGCGGTCCGGGCCGGGCCTGTGCGCGGCCGTAGACCCGCCACACCCGCCCGGCCCCCGTCCATACATACAAGCTGGGAAACGCGGTGTCCACTAGGCGATAATTTGAGGACTAACATGAAAGACACACATGCCACGGTGACCAGCGGCGGCGGCGGCGGCGGCGGCGGCGGCGGTGCGAGCAGCGGACCTGGCGGCGGCGTCTGCGTCTGCCGGGGGTCAGTCGACCAGCGGCGCCGTCAGCAGACACGGCAGGGATTTCCTGAGCGCCTGCTGCGGCTGCGGCGCCGGCGGCGCGCGGCCGTGCACCAGCAGCAGCTCCGAGGAGCGCGCCCGCGGCGCACCCGCCTTCCCGGGCACGCGGCGCTCGACGCCGGCGTCCACCGGCGGCAGGTCGGCCGCCGCCGCCGCCGCCGCCGCTGACGACACGGTGGCCACGTGCGGCGCGGCCAGCTCGGCGCGCACGGCGGCCGCCCGGGAGCGCCGGGGGCGCCGGCCGGCCGGCCAGCGGGCTCCGCCGGCCGTCGGCGGCGGCGGCCCCTCGTCGATCCAGCGCACCGACAGCTCGTCGTCGCCGCGCGCGCTGCTGCGGGTCGAGGCCGTGTCGTCGGCACAGCTGCCCTGTGGAACACGGAGGGAGGGACAGAGTCAGTACTCACTACTCACATCACCGGGATAAGACGGGAGACAGGACTGCGAGCCGACCTGCTCCTCGTTCTTCGCCGATAACTGGGCCGAGTAGGTGGCGCCGAGGAAAGCAGGGACAGCCACAAGGAGGCCGTAAACGTCTGTCTAAAAGGCAGACTGAAAATGCGGTTAGAAATGGAAGCATGGTGTACTACGCTGATATAGCTGATTTGTAACTATTTCGGCTCTGTTGACGAAATAAAACGAAACTACATATGCTGAGTTTCAACATAATGACGACGATGGTTTAGTATATGCTAATATGCTGATCAAGTAAAGAATTTGATATAAGCATGTCGCATGCGATGCTGGACTATCGTTTACGAAATATCGTTATATAACCTGATCATCTGTCAGTATTCGATCTGATCAGAGTCCCTTTACTCTGCCACATCTAAGTAGCATATGCCGATCGGGGTATGGGAATGGAATGCTGTTTATATGTTGAACACATACACATGCCTGACCTAAATCTTTGGCAGTTTTCTCGCTAAATTCTGTATTTCCTTCCATTTTTCATGTTAAACATCGACATGTCTCTCAAACAATTTGGTTAGCCAAACCATAAAGCACAATACCGCCGTTTTTACCTAATGGAGACCTCAAGATGCAGCCGATCGGATCTCCTTGGGGAGGGATCGAATGTCATTATGTGCCGTCTGTTCGACCACGCTGCCTAATGAGTGGCATTGTTTGCATCCCTCGAAATCCTCCGTGGCCACATCCCGCCGAGCTGATGACATTAGAAAACGCCATTAGCGGCAGAAACCCTACGCAAGTAGCATGGCAAACAGACGTCGCCCGTCAAAATACCGTCAGGGGGCATGTTTTGTGCCGGGGATTAAGGCCGGCCATGGCAGAGACTTTGTGAATCCAGCCACCCGTCACGCTGCCAAGACATATGAAAAGGCCAGTCGCTGCGCTGAAGAACGGCTAAACACAATTTATGCGACATTGAAGTCAGTTATGTCAGATAAAAACGCATGTCCATTGGTAAGAATCACATAACTACTTATCACATAATCCACGAAGCGTATGCCACAGCCGCTCATCTCAACAATTCCAACAGCAATCTGTGTTTCCTCCTTCCTTTGCCAGCGTACTCGATATGTGTAGCCTGCTCTCAACAATCTTATTCAAGCCGATTAATCATATGAACCGGGGTTTTCAGGGGGTCCAGGCTATACGCAAACTCTGACGAAACCCGTGTGCAAGCGCTCACGATGATAACTACTGCAAAATGAAATAATCACCCTGCCAGCTGTTCCACTTAATCCATTAACCTCTGAGCACTCGACTTCCCAACGGTAGTTGCACGTTCCGCGTGCCAATCCGTCATCGCTATGCGTCCCGTTCGCCTAGTTCCAAATTCGAGCGTCGCGGCCGGTCCGTCCGGCGCGCGGTCGCTAAGTGCTCGGCCGACGTCGTTCCGGGCCGGCACTGTGGGTCACTCGGTAACACCAGGCTACCGCGTAACCCGCCACAGGGTCCACCGCCGGCGGAACGCTCAGTGAGGGGAGGAGGTGAGGCTGCAGACGGTGATCCGTTCCGACCTCGGAATTCCAGCCCCGACCCTGACCCTCCCAGGAAGACATCTTCCTCAATCATCAGTTCCCGGAGATAGGCGATATCGACTCAAGGAGCAGATACGCCGATCGATGCGACTAGAACACTCGTGGCCAAATAACCCGTCGTCATTAGTTGCACACCAGAAAAGTGCGGAGTCCCAGGGACCGAGGAGCGTGGCGGTCAGATGGAAACGGATGCACAGGTAGAGCGACGGGGGTCGTAACGGGCGGACTGCCAGAGGACGGGAGGTGCTAACGGGTTCTCCGCCACCCGCGGGGAGATCGGGGAGCACCGAGGGGTGCGGATTGACCAGACTGGCCGTATCTCATCAGTAACGGTGCCGCCGCCGGGGACCGGTCAGCTCTGAGAGCCCCCCCCCCCTCCCCCTCTGCGGTCACCGCCGCGGCCAAGGTCAGACACGACGTCCAGGTTCCGCCGTCCGCCGCCAGGTGGCCACCGTCCGGAGCGGGGGTGGGCGGGGAGGGATGGTCGGTCACTTTCACTGCAGTTCGGCCGGCCGGCCGGCGTTTGAAGCGGGCCCCTCTCAAGTCGTTTGGTAGCAATGACGTCACCATGGCCATAGATCCGCGGCCGCCCGGGACCGCGGCGTGTTTAAAGGGCACACGGAACCACCCCATATACGTCGCCATTTTTCAACTTTTTGATGCATATTTAGGCTTGTTAGAAACAGCATTAAATTTTGAGCAAGGGCCTTCCACGCGATTGTTTCTAAACTTACTCAAGCTCCGTCAGATCGAGTTTAATTCAACTCATGTTCCCCAGCGCCGGCTCCCCCGGCCGCCGGGCCAGACGCCTCGGGCGGAATTCCCCCGTCAGAGACTGTACGTGAGGCGGCCGAGGCGGCCTGAGCGCGATGTCAGACAATGTATGATCCGACGCGCCGCTAGGGGACTCGTCTACTAAATGATAGTCGCGGAGCGTTTAAGGGCTAAGGCTGATGAGCATGAAGAAATTCGTATGGAGTTGCAGCAGAAGTCGCTGAAAATTCTCATGAATATTATTTCTGAAAATGTTTGTGATAAAAGTTCACACAAATCACGATTAAGAGCCTCGCCTTTACCTGTCACACACGGTCGATGGGAGCGGGACCTCCCAGGCTTAGTGGCCTCGTTATCCGATAACCGACAAGGTAAGGTAAGGTAAATCGTCACCCGGTTCTGTGACACAACGTTAAAAAAATTGATATCGGACATTGCGATTTGATGGTAATCTAGTTCCAACTGGTCAATGTTTTTTCAAAGTGTTATCGCCAGCCCGTAGTCAAGCACAATATGTGTAGTGTTTTGTCAATGACGTACCTAACTTGATAAACTAAGATAATTGTAAAGAACAGACAATCAATCGCAGGGCGCTTGAATGCTCCCACATAATCGTTTTCGAGCATTTCAACCCTCAGGATTTGACAGCCCTGTATGCATCGTGATCAAAATAGGTATAAAAGGACCGTGATGATGGCTTGACAGTTGGCATTAAATCAATCGATATTAAATTAAGAAGTTCCCAAAATGCAACATATAGCCTAATTTTTTTTTTTTGAGTGAATAGCCCTCTTCCAACCATCTATGATTAAACTTTCCAAAAGATCAACAAGTTCGAACGTTGCACGAGCCAATGAAGTTGACAACACGACCCAGCCCAGTAGGCCAAATGCGCTCACATGCTGCCGACCGAGTGATGTACTATCATCGTTGACAGTGACTTTTCCACGACCGCCATTCATGTATTATACATTCCTTGTCGGATCGAAAACTAAAAACGAGGACGCAGATCACCACAACACGACGAACAGCAGCTCATTACATTGCGCGCACACGTGCAGACGTGGGTCATCCCACGAACCATGACCCGAAACCCCTGCCAATCCATCCGTAAGTCACAACCATTTGTCCACCAAAAGCAAACAAGACCACAGACCGCAGCAAACAAACCCGAGCTCTGATAACCCATTCATAACATGAACCGATTCACCTAACAACCCGCCCGCGCAGGAACTATCCACCAGGTGCAACCGATTGTCCACTCTGTGGATAATCGCATTTCACTTTACTGAGAGTGCTGCTTCCTTTTGCGGTTGGCCCGCCTCTCCATCGCCTCCAGCTGCTGCTCAATGTTTATACACTGCATGCGGATGAAAGTCCGCACTCTGGCGAACTTCTTTGCCAGAAGCCTGTCAACATGCAGCTTGTTGACCAGCAGCTCCGTCATCTCGCTCACCACACCCTCCCTACGGCTGAGCTGGTCAGGCTCGTGGGAGTGGTACACTGAAAACTCGCGGTCCATGCTTTCGAATGATGATAGGAAAGATTGGGAAGGGATCGTCAGACCACCCATACTTAAAAGCTGGGTCCAAAGTGCTTCCCTCGGCGCCTTCTCTGCCTGTGCTAAGAAGCCATCACTAGCTTTCCGGCACTTCCGAGCAACCGCGCCGGCGACGTACGCCATCGCGCTGCGTGCAGCCGGGACTCCAGATTCGAGGTCGGTGGCTCCTTGACAGCTGGGTGTTGAGCTGGTCGTCGCTCCTTGTCGCGAGCTGCGCTTCTCCTCCATAGCAAGTAGCTCCATGTACTCCGCCTCCAGATTCTCGGCCTCTTCTTCCGCGTCGATTGGCTCCAGCTCCGACTCAGGGTCTGTGCCCAGACTGGCCGTGGCGAATGTTGCCAACTCCATTTGCACAGTCGTGCCGTCTTCGAGGTTCTCCAGTTCTGCTCTGGAGACATCATGTTGGAGAGCTTCCACCTCGTCTCCAACTTCGTCATCGTCGGCGTCCGGGGCGTCGTCACCGTCGTCACTGTGAGCTACCTCTTCAGGATCTGGCCCCATTGGGTTCTGTCCCGCCTGTCTTACAGACTGTAGCATGATAAGACGGAGTCGTCCTTTCGCCTCCAAGGCTGTAGGATTCCAGTTGGAGCCGCCCCTGCCTCGCACGGCCCCGAACATGCTCTCCAGCTGGTCCTGGGTCAGCCTACGAGTCAGCAGATAAGTCTGCTCTCCAAACTTCTCCTTCATGTCGGCTAGCAAGCCTCGTACCGACTGGATGGTCACCATCCATCCCCTCTGGAAGGCGTACATGTGCTTCGCCTTGCCAATGCGCATTGCCACCAGCTCGCGCATCGCCTCGTCTAGGATGGCCTCTTGCTGTGCAGAGCCATTGTAGCCACGGCGTAGTGGCTTGTGGTCGCAAGGGTTGGCGGCGTTTAGGACATCTCCCACGTTGTCGAAGAGACGAAGAACGCGGGCTGCTTCCGCTGTGCCCTCTAGATGTCGCTCCATTGCTAGAGCGCTAGTGGCACTGATCAGCTGATAGGCTGGCCTTACCTTCTGTCTGGCCATGCCAACGACCTGTG